CAGCAGCGTCAGGAATGAAAACGGTTGTCCGTTGCTGCTCATCATCACAGAGCTCAAGAATGCGCCAGACCACAGGTATTTCCCGGAAGCATTCACTTTTAGCTTTGAATTTGATTTGATTTGATTGGTTTAGTCCTCGGACAATCGGACACTGCCTGAAAATGACACTTGCAAAGACTGTTATAGCAACATCCACGGGATTTGTGTTGCAATGGCTTTTGCGCTTTTTATAATCACCCTTCTTGAAGATGGTAAAAGCTTGGCCGTGCCTCAGTCCTTAGGTGTGAGGTTAGCTCTCACTGTTTGCTCGATAACCTCATAAAATCAGGGCGGAAGAGTGCAATTACAAAACTTGTAGATTTCAGCGCGGTGTGTTGTCCTCGCCAGGACGCTCTTCTGTTGCACAACCTTGGAAATACGTCCACATAACCGGAGAAGGAAGGAACGTCGCTCCAAGAGGAAGAGTAGAGTGGTTGATCAGTCGTCGAAGGTGAGAATAGGCAGCTCTTCTGGATTCCTCAGTGTTTTGGTAAGAGATGACAACCAGAAGAAGAAGAATGGTGAGCTCATCATGCCCCATTACAAATCAAGAACCTATTTCGCCCCGGAGAAGGTTTATTTATCCAAAGACCGCAAAGCGCATTCTTTTACTGTCTAAGACCGGATGTGTTTGTTCAAAAGGGCTGATTTAAAGCCACACTAGGATCACTTAAGTAATCATCCAGCGATTGAATCGCATTTTATGAAACTTATACGGAAAAGAGCCAACTTCACTCTTTGGCAGGAACCCCTCCTCCTGACAAAATAACAACTGCCTGAATCGAGCAAAGCCTTCGGCGGAAGTTTACAGTTTTACGGAGCACATAATTATGGTATACGGTTTATCCGGGTCTAATTTACCACCGATCGTAAGCAACAGCTACGAGTTGTCCTGGTGTCGGCGAAAGAATAAGGTCAGTTGTCATTGAATAGAAAAAATAAGCATTTATGCAACCCTCCTCTTTGTCAGCAAACTCACTCTAAAAGACACTTTAAGGGGCTATTTTGCAAAAAAGGAATAAAAAGCATCATAATGTTTGGCGAACCTTCGCGATGCACAAGGCAATAATGACGTCCGCAAAATATGGTGCGTTAAATAACTCCAAGCAGATTTGTGATACAGTTTGTTAACCACTGCGGGCGTATAAAGGTGCTTGCACATAGATTCAACCAAGAACAAGGCTTAGCTTTGTTCCGCTCTGTTACTCGGGACACGCATGATTAAAACAGGGAAGTGTCTCATCAAATACCAGACAGAGAAACTCTACAAGGATGAATTTTAGTGATTATATCTGCATAGCAGACACACAAACACACCTTATGATAGACCTTTGTAGGCCACATAGGAACGGCCTTGTCGAAATATTCTCCGCCGACTAATAACAACTACCTTGCAGCAATTAATTCTCAAAAGGAAAAAAACCGTTTAACATGATTGTAGTCTACTCATTCGCATGTGAATTGGTGCATAGGTAAGCCGGGGTAAGAGCGGCAAACGACTAATCTGGGAAGAATGAAGAACTGTGCGGAACCAATGCATTGATAAATTGAAGCTGCAAACAACAAATTGAAAAAAAATACATATCAAGTGCTAGACAATGACAAAGAAAAGCGCAGTAAGTTGTTCAGTTAACACACGTCCCAACAAACCGGTCTTTGATGGACGGACGCTCATAGATCGGCCACGGGATTCAGGCGTCACCCTCGAGCCCCACCGGCAGCTATACAGCGGCTAATGATATAGGCAGAATGACATAATCGACAATAAAAAGGGAGACTAGAATGACCATTTCTGGCCTATTAACAGCCAAAATCAACCTGACTCAAATTTAGGCGTTGCGACACTCGAGGCTCCAACTCCCGACCTGCTGGTTAGAATTCGCACGCTCTAACCCCCTGCACCACGAGTTCTTTTCCACACCGGTTTCGATAGGGAATATTAACGATGTTATATGGGTGGGATAGGGTATAACTGCTTGATGACGGCCAATAAACCCAAAATGGCTATTCTAATCTCCCTTATCTTGGTCGGTAATGCAATTCTGCCTATATTTAGCATTGTTGGATAAGTTCAGAATACTCTTTCGACAGGGAACTTGTGGCCTAGTTTTAGTGTACGTATGTGGCGAGCTTTCCCATACATGGAGAACGTCTCGGAAGCCATCGGCCGCCTTCTTACTCCACTTGAAGTTGGGGCTGCATACAGGCGAGGGGTAAACAGCATGTGCCAGGGTGTGGGGCCGCAAGATCAACTGCAATC